CAACTAATGATGGATGTGATTGCAACTCTATTTTCCCGTACTACTTCATAAAAATATGTAAAAGTAAAAGGAATCCCACAACTTTAAATAATACTCCAAAAAGTATTGTCACCACAAAGCTGCACAACTGCAATAACAGGAGTAAACGTAGTTAGTTACTTCCACTCTTTTTCATGGCATCCTCACCAGCCGCAACATGCCTGGTGAGAAGCAGAGCATGGCGGTGGCTCGGCACGCTTCGCTTGTCCTTAAGAAAGGAAACCTGTGCAGGTGAAAAAGTTGTATGCCTCTATTTTTGTGAAACAAAACAAAAAACTGGGACAAAAGTGCGTTACCAACTCAGAGTTATTTTCAATCTACACAGGTGAGATACTGTATTCTGAAGGCTCGAAGGATCACAGCGTAACATGTCAGCGGTATGATGCCTTCAGGTACCAGGGGAAAGGTCCATCACTTCCATTTTACTGTGAAACCTGAGACTTTTGCTTATCTTCCTCCTCCCCCCTCTGCTTAACTCTTTTAGCCTTTTGGTGTTAATCCTCAGGTCAAATATTGTGAGAGTTTCTGTTGATGTGTGTGAGCCCAGATCTTCCTTCCTTAGAGCTGCAGGAAGCATCAACAGATCAGCAGCACAGGTAAATGATCTGGTGATCGGCAGAGATGCATTCATGGCTTTTTGACCTGTTGGACAACCTAAGGGTATCATATGGGCTTGTCAAACAACCAGATTAGTTGTAAATAAAACAACCTGTTAAGCTTATTGTATATGGGGGGAAAAATGACACAGTGAAATTGCATCTTTAATGGGATTGTGGCGGGACATCAGAAAACTGTAAACTAATGGAATATCAGCAGAAAGGACTGAAAACCTTTGATCTGATATAGTTTTTATGGGATAGTTTTCTGATTCCTTTACTGGTTAGATATGTATGTTCACCTATCACTACACAAGGAAAACACAACATGCTCATAACAGCATAGGTAACTTACATAGGGGGTGGCATAGGCTTGACGTAGAGCCGATGCACAACTATGACACAGCCTTTAGGGGAACCCAACATCAATGTAACATTATCTACCTCTAAACGTGGATCTGACTGGGGATCAGGTAATTCACTTGAGGCGGTCTGATTACGTTTTAAAACCTTTTAAACCTTCTGTTGATGGGCAGATTTTATCTTTGTTTGAACAAAATTACTCACAAGGCATCTGTCACAGCACTAGCCTATGGTCCTTGCAGTCACATGCTACTAAGATGGAATATGGGAAACGTAGAAGATTGAAAATTGGGGTTGTATACCTACAGTAGACGCCTTCGCCTGCAGGAACATATTTTTCTCACTTTTCAGTCATGAATCTTTAAAACCATCATGCTTTCTATACCCACAAAACTCCATCACACCCATCATACCTCTGATGGAGATCTGCATCGAGCTACTCACGTGGCACTATCACGAGCCGCCATCAGCAGCAACACAAAACATTCACAATAACACAAAGATGAGCTGACGGGAAGAAAGTGTAGAGCCTGGGTGGCAGCAGTGAACTATCTTACAGGAGTGTTCGAGGTTAAAGATGGCATGTCAGCAGGGTGTGTGGCATCATGGATGACAGTCAAATAGCTCAGATGACATTTGTGATTATCCATACAACATGAACCTTTTGGCTCCTCCCTCACAGCTTTGTTATGTCTGTCTGTCTGTCAGTGTCCTGCAGCACAGGCAGCTATTCATTAGAGATGCTATCAGATGGCAAAAGACACTTGTTTTTTCAGCAGTATGCTATCGAGGTGAGATCTATGGGAACCGTCTCTAATCTGCCCCAGTGAGACAGTTGTGTTTGTGTTTATGGAAACTTTGAGTACAGAGCGAGTTCATGAATGTTATCAGACAAACATCATGCATCTTTTAGTTGGACAGCCTACAACAGAGATACAATTTAAATTATTTCTTAAATGGTATCTAATGGGTTTTGCAGGTTGTGTAACATGTTTTTGAAGCTGTTAAAAGGTAACATTTAGGACGATGTATTGTCAGAAATGGAATATAATATTATAAGTATGTGCAAAATCATTCAGTAGTAAAGTGTATAAATGGAATATTTTGGAGATATTCCATTTATACACTCACACTTTAGTAAAAGGTATTCAGATGAGGAGAAATCCTCCATAACCTGAGAGGGGAAAAAAAAGAAGATGATTCTCTGTCTGACATGTTAAGCCCTTATGATTAATACCTGATGTTGACAAGGTTTTGCAGTAATTAGCCAGGAACGGGCTTTGAGCAAGGCCACGGTACACTGGTGAAGACTGCAGCCAAGCATTCAGAAGAAACCACACGGCGTTCAGTCACGAATCTATGTTAGGTGTTCACAATGCAAGATTCAACTGTGATTAATAGCTACAGAGATAATATACTTCAATTAAAGTCATTGTTCTACGCCTACTTCCTCAACAGGATGTTTATGTTGTACAAGACTCACAGTTGTACAAGAAGTGAGAGAAGTTTGGTGCATCATAGTTATTGCAACAGTGGATGTTTGAACTAAGTCTGATCTAATTATGATTGTATCAGAGTGCACGGTTTGTAAGTTCAGCAGCTGTTGTTTCACGTTCAGCCAGCTTTCTTCACCGCGGTGGCGCCTTGATTCTGTTGGTGCTGAGAAACAGACGTTGACCCCGGTTGGTGTGTGTGTGTGTGTGGGGGCGATGAGTGTGTGAAGAACAACTATGCAGAAAGGTGAAAGTGAGTCATATTACAAAACATTATCTGGGCAGCCACCAACACACATAAAAACAAGGGAGATTTGGTGTGGTTAAAGGGGCAGCATGTGTACAAAACACAAGCTCTAATCCACTTGTTAATGTCAGTACAGAGTACACATTTTCCATTTTATGCAACTTTATACTTCTACTCCACTAGGCTACATCTTCAGAGGCATTATATATATTTTTTTGTCTCTTTTTTCATACCCTTTCTGTCAAAAACACAATAGGAAACAGTGTGTGAGCACAACTACGGCAAGTGTGTTAGGTATAAGATGGTCTGTGATTTTTTTTTTTTTTTTTAAATAATAATAAAATCAATGTCTTTTTCTTTATACATTCTGCTAATCTGGTGTTTTGTCTGATCGTGTTTCATCAATAAAAATGAACGTTGCTGCGTTTTCCTGTTTTCCCTTCTTAATTTGGTCATTAATACTGAGGAATACCGGGCTTATCCTTTAATGTCCATCTCTGAGAGTCCTGGAAGTGACTCCAGGTGGAAGTTTGTAGCTGAATCACTGAGCAACACAAAGCAGCTCATTGAACAGAACGAGGACTTAACAGGCTTCCTAAATGACTCAAATGCTTTCTACAGAGACAGTTTTAAACAATGAGCTGATGTTTGCTCTGTCAGTCTGTGTCTCAGCCCAACTAAGATTGTCCAGGTATTAATGGACGGCCTCTATTTACTTTGAGCTGTTTGCTGATGGATCATCTTACACCTTTTTCTTTACCTGCAGGAAGCCTCTCCTGACCTGCACAGAGACCAGACAATGAGTGAAAAACTGGAGCTGGTTTTCCAGGTTTGGTTGTTTTTCTTCCCTGTTAGATTCTTTAGTACCAATAACACACTTTCATTTTTTATGTAAAAAAAAAACCTCTTTCTATGTAGATATTCTTAATGTCTGCCACAGGGTTGGATTTGTTTGGATTCCCCTTGAAATCAATGAAACAAGGCGGTAGAAACACGCTCTCTACAGGGGCCGCCAGAATCAACAAAAAAAGTTCCATGTTATTGCTTTAAATGTCCAGTGTGAAGGATTTAGTGGCATAGTTGCAGATGAACGTTCATATGTACAGCCAGTGTTTGGTTTGTCCATCCTGGGCTACTGTAGAAAGATGGAGGATCAACATTGTGGACATGAAAGGAAGACTTATTCTAAGGTAACAAAAACACAACTATTCACTCATGAAAACATAGTTATGAAGTGTTATCAGGGAAGTATACATAAGGTATTAAAAGTAATTACCATAAGCGTTAAAAGCAGGATTTTACTGGTTGAGGTGGAAGTCATTTTTAACTATTTTGTATGGGATTGCAACTAATGATTATTTTCATTATGAATTAATCCTAAATTTATGAAGCTGGAAGCATAAAACGTTGCATTCAAAAGGACCTAAATGATTATAAATGAAATTGTTGTATGTTTTGTTTTTAAAATCTTCATTTGTAAAGTAACTAGTAACTAAAGCTGTCAGACAAATGTATTAATAAGTTATTGACCACAACAGAAAATCCTAAAGATCAAGTATTTAACTTGTTTTATAAAGTGTATCTATATGATTTATTATGTTTGAAGTAGTTTAAATAATTAGGATAGACCTTTAAAGTTAACATGGCAGTGGAGATTATCTGGTGTTAGCATAACCCTCAATGGCAGGGTAACAAAACAGGTTATTGCCAGAAACAATGTTGATATTGGACAATTCTGCAAAACCCCTTTACTTTAAATGTGTATAAATATCTGTGTACGTCATGGTAGAGGATCCTATAAAAACTGTGTGTATTTACTAACTAAAGTTTAGGTTAAAAATATATTTATTATATTTGACCATCTGTTATTCTTCTCTGCTTTGCTCCAACATCTGGAAAACTGTTCCCGCTTCATGCTCTCAATACCACTGACATACATTTTCTATTGCATGTCTTTATTAAGCACATTTATAGAAAAATATACTTACAGCTTTACCAAAATATTTTACAAGATGATACAATCCCGATAACAATTTTTATTTTTGCCTTTTATGACAAAAGAATGGAAAAAGATGGAGCTTTAATCAACAGATAATCTTACTGATTGATCCTCTCATGTTTGTTAAATATAAAGCTACAGTGAGCAGCTGCTTAGCTTAGCTTGGCATAAAGACTGGAAACAGGAGGAAACTGCAAGCCTGGCTCTGTCTGAAGGTAACAACATCTCGCTACCAGCACCTCTAAAGCTCACTAAATAACAGCTTGGTTGTTTAATCTGTACAAAAACTGCGTATCGAATTAAAAACAACTATTTGCTGTTTTCCAAATGGTTATGTTACTATTTCTGTAATCTATATGACAGCATCAGCATGGATGAAAGAATAGCCTGGAACATTACCCATCGCAAAATGACATTAAGTGTGTCAATTAGTGAGCTTTAGAGGTGCTGGAAGGTGTATTTTGTTACCTTTGGATAAAGCCAGGTTAGCCTTTTCACCCTGTTTCCAGTCTTTATGCTAAGCTAAGCTAACTGGCTGCTAGCTGTGGCGTAATGTTTAACAGACAGGCAAGAAAGTGGTATCCATCCTCTCATCTAACTCTCAGCGAGAAAGCTATAATTCTACATTTCAGGAAATATGCTCATATTTCCTAAAAATGTAGAATCATTACTTTAAAACTGTGTTTATTTCTGTTCAGGGTATAAAGGGGAAAAAACAGGCCGTTAAAAGGAAAACGAATGGTGATGGATTTTACATTTTTGGGTGCATTTTATGTGTTTTTCCTTCACCGCACTGCAAGGAGTTGATCCTGGCTGAGTTGTAACAGTCAGAGGAGATTTCTCCTTCAGGTCTTCAGCTCTATCAAAGTCACCACATCGCGACTGTCCTCAGAAAATAAAACCTGACAGTCTTTTAGCGTCACATCTTCGTCTTCTTGTGATTCCTCTGCGTCGTCACGAGGCCGAAGACAATCTGTGAGCAGCAGGATGATGTTTGTACAGAGGACCCTGAGGTTTCCTGTCCTCTGCACAGAAAACAGAAATAAACGGAAATAAAACCATTAATCGTCACCATCAGGATCATCAATCTCATGTCAACATCTGAATTAGTTCATCAAAATTCAACACGTCGCACGGCTTTATTCACCTTTTAAATATCGACCTGTTGAACTCTGGTGATCATTATCTGTTTGTTGAGCTTCATGAACAACTGGTTTTGCCTGCTGTGTGTTTATGAGCAGCTGAAATGAGGCTTGAAGCTACTGGTTGGAGATCAGATTTGTGATCATTATTTTGAACTTTCCCAGTTAAATTTTACGGCCAATGTGAGTTTGTAAAAACTTAAATGTAATAATTTCGATGACCGAAGAGGCAAAATTTTAATTAAAGTTAAAGTTAAACTAGTATTTATATTAAATGTGTATATGAATTGTCTACTGCTCTTAATAACAACCAGAACTCAGCCATATCTGCAGTTTACACAGCAGAAATGTTTCATTAAATCATCTGTATTTATGACTGAACGAACAAACTGAGACAAAATATGAATTAAAAAAAAAACTACACCAGGAGCTGCAATTTGAGACCATTTTAATGACACGCCCTACCCTGCTTCTAAAAAACATTAGTGGTTGTTGAGCAGGGAAACACAGCATTTAGCAGAAAATAAAGCCCCTTCAGATGTGTTTTTATAGCTTAAAACACAGGATGGAAGTACTGTGGCTTTTTAGACAGTTTCTTAGATTTGTAATTTTCAGGCAGGCCACAAAGTCAACTTCCTCTTCAGCGTCCATCCTCCGAAAAAGACTGAAATAATGTGAATATCAACAGTGAGCTGGAGGAATTTGGGGGCAAAGAAATTGCCAGTTTGAGTCTACAATTTCTGTATATATGGTGTCAAACAGATGGAACTCGTTTTAGTTAAGTGAAATACAAATAAAAGGAAATGTCTTTAGGTTTAGTCAAGCATGAGACTGGGACTTTCTACATGACTGTGAGTCTATTTCCTTTACAAACTGATACTGCTCACATTACAATAAAAACACTAAAACTAACATTAAAACTAATAGAAATATAACATTTTTAAAGAATAAAAACTCTGAAATGAGCAAACCCACTCTGGAAACAAAACTAAAATAAAAACTAAAGAAAAATACACAACTATAATAACTCCACTACTACATTTGCTTCAAATGAGTGTCTGATTCAGTCTTACCGTCTCTTTGTGGAAATCTAAAGGTTGCTGCAGTGTGGAAATCTGCAGCCTCCAGCGGGGCTGCAGGGCCGGGACGAGCCTGACTCTGGGTCAAACTGGGAGATAGACTGCAGGACTGGGGCTGCCAGTGGTGTCCAGTGCTCATGTAGTTGGCTGCTGGACCTCCGTACACACCGTACTGGTTCGGTGGAGAATACGCACAAGCTGAGACGTAACCAGGCAGACTGGATGAAGTCTGAGGACAGGAAAGAGAAAATAAACAATGTTTCTCCCTCGCTAAAACAGAACTTCTGAAAAACACAGAATTATATTCAATGACAAGGTTTTTCAAAATGAGTATATGAATAGATAAAAGTCAGGGGATCACCAGAATGATCAGGATTCATCCTCTAGGGATCAGAAATATCCTCTGCAGCTTTTATGGAAATCTGGCCTGCGTTTGAGATGTGTTGTGCCAACAAACATACCTGCACAATTCTCAACTTGTGAGTTGAGAATTGTGAGTTGACTCACTGACATAACAAGTTTCCTAAACTCTAATTATAACCTTAACTTGAAGCTTATTCTAAAATCAACCTTAAAAACAAGTCTTAAACCCCAAATGTCCACATTTCATTTAAATGTTAAAAAATGTCTTTGAATCTCAAAAAATTCCACATTTCTAAAAATGTCCTTACTTCACAAGAACGTCCTCGCTTATTTATGTAAGTTTTCTTTTTAACCGAACACACGTATTTGCGAGCCTTCACTTGTGACGACCATCATTGACCAACATTTCCAAGACCCCAATTTGACCTTAACTTAAATATTTCAACATACTCCAAAACCAAATCTTGACTCACTTTGATTCTACTTCTCAAAAAAAAATAAAATCCAAAAAAATACCTCACTTTCCAAAACATTTCCACATCTTTAAAAATGTGTTCACTTTCACTGATTCCCCCCAAAAAATCCACACTTCTAAAAAAGTCCTTTTGTCTTCCTGCCAATACTTACTCCACCATTCTCAGTCAGGGTTCAATGTGTATTAAACTGCAGGTAACCATTAAACTGACTACAGTCACACTTTGTTTTACTTTATTAATAAACTGAAAGTGTTCTCATATAAGAAGAATGAGAGAAGGAAAGAAGAATGTCCAACACTTCATTTATTATCATTCGTCAATAAGCTGCAGCTGTTTGTAGTTTATTCCTAAACGAGCTGGAAAACAGGAAGTGGGCCTCGATGATAGCCAATAAGAGCTCTGGTTATTACACATGAATGCCTCAGTGTGCCACTAATTAAAGACAGAGCTGGCAAATGAATACATGTACAGATCAAAATGAATTTGTTCTTGGATTCAACCATTATTTTCTCATTCAGTAACTGTGATGTCAAATTAGCCCCTAAATCTCTCTTTAATTTAACCTTTTGACTAATATTCTTTGATTTCTTTACAAAGTTAGTTATTAGTCCCTGTTTTTGTCATTAAACATCAATAATTCAAATTTACAAGTATCTGCAGCATTCGGCCTTTAGAAATCTGATTTTATTAGAGAGTTATTGTTATAGTTTTAGTATTATAGAGTTTATTTCATTTACCTGCTGTGGGTATTTGAGGTCTGGCTCGTTGTTGGTTTTCTCCACTGCACTGATTCCACTGGGAAACGCTCTCATGCTGGTCATACTGGTCCAATCCTCCATTTTGGCTGCGTGTGCATCAGATCCAGACAGTGCTGGAAAAAAAATACTGACTTAACACAAATTTAACTATTTGAGCTGCCTCTTAACACGTTGTAAAACAAACAAACAAAAAGCCCACCTTAAAAGATCAGTTTGCTTTGTATTCAGTCAATTTACGCCATATTCAGTCTTCAAATATCTGTTTTTTTTAAATGGACTAACAAGCAGGAAGAATAAAATGTTTTACATGAGAAAATTCTCATAAAAGAAATAGAAAATTATAAAAATATATCTTACTATTTCCATATTTTTTCCAACCAAACAATCAATCGATTAATGGTGAAAATAATCGGCAACTTAATCCATTATGAACATTATCAATAGTTGCAGTCAACACATAAAAGAGTTATAAGCTTCAACTCAACCACCTGCAGCAGTAAAATCCTGCTTTTACATCAATGCATGAGTCATAATGAACTAATGATATAATGATAGTATAACAGCCACAGGGCACATTTTACATTTTCCTAATTATTACTTGTTAAAATGTACTTTTACCACAGGATCTGAATGAACACAGGGATGATATGAAAATGTAATGTCATATTTATCTTGATTGCCTAATTAATTGCGATATTATCGTGACAATCATGAAAATATACCTCATACTTTTAAAATGGAACTAAAACAAACTGGCATCACTTTACAGTTTGTCAGAAACACATATTTGGAATCTTTTTCCACACATTAGGTTTAAATATGATATCATATATACATTATTTTGTTGGTTTTATTCAAAATAAATCAGGAAATCAATGTAGGACTGTTTACTGGTGAGCTAGACAGCTGTTTGAAGTCAAACCATGTGAGGATATTCACAATTATTATAAAACATTGATATGTTTTATCACGATAATATCGTATATGGTCCTTTCCTACATCTCCATCAAGGTCAGTATATAATAACTGTATCATATAACCCTCAACCCTCAAACACCACAGCATTGTTTGTTATAATGTGTGGATCATATTTTTCTATCTTTGTTGTAAAGTCTGTTTAAAATGAAATAAAAGTTCTGAATGATGTCCGTACAACGATGTAAAGCCAAAGACAGGAGAGTCCAAAAAATGCATTATATATATATATATAT